AGGAATACGCCTGAGGTACAAGATTGACTTAGGTTTAAGTCTCTGATACCATGTACGATCAGTATTTTCCCATAAATCGGCGTATAGCCATTCCATTGATATAAATATACATAATACAACAATGGACTAGGTTACAATATAAATGGGCTCTCTAATACAATATGGGCTACATATACAAATACATAAATGTACGCTAACATGCCATAACAGCCAACGAACTCGAATTCTATCCCTCCCCGCAGAGATAACAACAGCATCCTTAACAACCCAGTTTCCCAATAAGGGGCTTCATTGCTTTGGACGCGGATAGAACTCAACACTGTTCCCCATAAACCCCTGGGAGGGAAAAACTGGAGTGTGCCTCCGCCCAGTTGAACTGGACCTCATTGGTCATTCTAGCACTATATTACTTAATGTTATTTACATGAGTACTATTTACAACTCTTTTCTTTAATATATATGTGATTGGCATCACTACAAGATCCATCATCTCCTACTAGTAAGTAGTTATAGCATGACCACTTTGTACACCACTTAGTAGAAAACCCATTAAAGCACTATCTTTCGTAATCGGTAACTCTTCCATAAGCAACATGATCGATAATAAAAAGGTTTACATTTAATAGCATCTTTATAGTTGGATGTGTATAATCTCATACCATTATCTCACAGCTAGGGAGCATACTTTATAATCATACTTTAACTCTTTTAAATAAAGGATCCAGTTTAAGCCGTTTATTGCAAACCCCAGTCAACTTATCCTTCATGATCTATCAACCCTAGTTAACTTATCCTTCTTGAACTGTTTGAACCCATGAGTATGGGGCATACACATATATTAGGCTTAGTCGCTTAGAACCTCTTTATAACACACACACACACACACACACACACATATATATATATATATATATATATATATATATATATATATATATATATATCTTGAAACTAGACTAGAACAATTAGGATGTGATTAGTTCAATTAATATCTACAACAACATTATTATTTCTTGAAACTAGACTAGAAAAACTAGGATGTTATTAGTTCAATCAATATCTATAACAACATCCTTTTATTATCTAAGTTCATTCCACTTTCTATCTTGTGATCTTAGGTCATAGTACACACAATTTGCTCATTCCATATAGTTCAAGGGCTTAATTAATCATTATCATACCATAATTTAATTACCAAAACCACTCGTTAATGAAAAACCGGTCACAATCAATCATCCCTGGTCAACTTGTCATTCATGAACTATCTGAATCCATAAGTATGGGGCATACATATATATTAGGCTTAGAACCTGTTTATACACACACACACACACACACACACACATATATATATATATATATATATATATATATATATATATATATATATATATAGATATATATATATATATATATATATATATCAACTAGACTAGAACAATTAGGATGTTACTAGTTCGATTAATATCTACAACAACATGATCCTTTCTTAAATTTAGATTAGAAAAACTAGGATGTTGTAGTTCAATCAATACCTATACAACATCCTTTCATTATATAAGTTCACTCCACCTTTCATCTTGTGATCTTAGGTCATAATACACACAATTTGCTCATTTCATATAGTTCAAGGGCTTAATTAATCATTATCATACAATAATTTAATTTAATTACAAAAACCACTCAATAATGAAAAACTAGTCACTATCAATCACCCCTTCCATCTTGTCAAACCTAGCTAGTTAGCTTCCTAATTTCCATGAAAATTGACGTTTGTTGTATAATCTCCTTCATTCAAATCATTATTAAAGGATACTGGACACATAGCTACCAATCGATTCACTTCCTTCATTCAATTTAGAGTTTCGTTTCACAAGAATTAAAAACCTTGACACATATATTCACAAATTCTACCTCAAGATGTATATATAAGTGTAAAATCTAACAATTGCCTTTGATATTAATATCCTTTGACCAAACATGATGTAACACCCTATTTTCATGTTTAATTAGGATTCAGTATAAATCATTGTTTATAAAATTCAAAATAGAACTATGTTAATTTTTAGCCAAAGTAATCGTCACAAACATGTAGGAAACGACAATATGATTTTCATATATATATATATATATATATATATATATATATATATACAACATACCATACATAATAAACACATAATGGGCCCCGCCCGACATCAATCCCCGCTCGGTATATATATATATATATATATATACAACATACCATACATAATAAACACATAATGGGCCCCGCCCGACATCAATCCCCGCTCGGTATACAGATCTGTCAGTCATCAGGCCCCGCCTGGCATCGGGACTCGCTCGGTATACATATAAATATATAAGCATATAATCATACAAACACATGCGATAATGAAAGATAATAGCATACAATACAGTCATCGGGCCCCGCCCGGAATCGGGCCTTGCCCAGTAAGCATACCAACACATAACACATGCCAGAGTCATGCAAACATCTATCATCATAACACAATAAACCATGGGCCGACATTGGTGCCTTCGACCCGCTAAACAAAGTGAGGAAACTCACCTCAAGCTGTTGAATCACTCAAATGAATCTCTGACTGCTGGCCCGAAAAATCCTCGCGCTATCAAATCAATAACATCCAATTATTAATTGGATTCCGACCCATAACCAAAAGTCTAAGCTATTTGGCCCATAACCAGGGTAAAAAGACCAATTTATCCTTTATCTAACTTGGCCCAAAACCAAGGCCCAACTCAACAATTCAAAGGCACAAATCCTAAAGCCCAATATATGGCCCAATCTTCCAAATTAGGCCCAAAAACCATCATGGGGCTAAAATCCAAGGAACCCAACATGCTAGCCCAAAGCCCAAAACAGAGGTCTAATGACCTAACTAGGCCCAAACTTCCAAATACAAACTATGGCCCAATACCGAGGACGTTAAGCCTAAAAGCCCATCTACTGAGTATGCGGGGCGTACTCAGCTCGTATGCTTAACGCACTCTATCTGGGGCTTGTACGCGCAGCGTACCAGCTGGGTACGCTCTGTGTACTCCCCACTGTGCCAACTTGCTCCATTAATCACTTAAACCGCTAAGTCCTTTATCCAAACTCTCAGATTTGGTCCCTAAAGGTGACTTATCACGTAAAGTTGACAACTTTACATGCATGCCTGGCTTAATGTGGCTCAAGAGCTCAAAAAGAGCTTAACAAAGGTCTTAATACATGCATGGGTCAAAATACTCCATAAAGTTTGCATTTTTATGATCATGGGGACTAAATGGAGCTAAGATCTAGCATTCATTACTTCCGGAGTAGATCAAAATCCCACCTTTAACATAAAAGGCTAAAAAATGCCCAAGAAACACCATATAGAAGATCTATCATAAATGGACATAAAGGTGTGCACTTTTTACCTCAAAAGCTTGCAAATGAGAAGGTGATCCCAAATCCACAAACTCAATCTACTTCTCCAAGGGTTTCTCTTATTCTTCTTCACCTTAAGACACCAAAAATCTCTTTATCAAGCTCAAAAACTTACTAACACACTTAGGGTTTCGTTTTCAGGGCAAGGGGAGGTGGAGGCTGGTCTAAAATGTCCAAGCGATGAGTTTAAGACGTTTAAATAGGGTACAAACCCTAAAAATTAGGGTTTGTCCCAGACCTGCATACGCCATGCATACTCCACCTACACCCCATGTACGTGGGTGGAATCTGCGACCATCAGAAGGCTAGTACGCTAAGCGTACTCATAGAGTACGCCCCCGCGTACTAGCAAAGGACCAAATTGATAAGAAATTAACATTAAGGACTAAAAGAGGAACTTACCCAAAACTTGAATGTTACAACCTTGGAAGGTCACTTCTAGTGTCTTGAAAGCACGATTCCTTATATTGAAAAGATAGACTACATTTTCATTGGTTACACAAATGAAAGTTACCATTGCATATTTTGGGCTTCATTATTTTATACAGAAAAAAGGTTTGAGTGATGAGCTTTTTCTTAATACGATCAAGTCAATGTGACACTTCAAAATAATCATGTACGAGTTGATGATGATGAGGACAAGGTTCACCCACATGGTAGTACAACGAACTGAGAATATATGACTCGATTACCATATCAAATTGTTGAGTAGTTTATAGAACATATATAAAATTGTTTTTAAAAAAACCTTTCTTATGATGATTGTATGAATCAAATTGAAATATCTTAAAACTAGATTTATTGATTTTTTTTAGACTGCGGATGTATAGTCCACATCTTCTTTTGCATATATGGTTGTAGAATGTAGACGTTTTACCCTTTTTTCGAAAACAAACAACACTTTAATAACCGTTCAAGCTTCTATGATAACTTCAAAATCTACCTTTTCTCGGTGTAATCAATACAAATACCACAACGTTCCTCCTAATCAACAAAATATGAATTTGTTCAAGGGATTTCTTGGATGATGTATAATAGATACAAAACGTTGTTTCATTGAAAACGAAATTGAATAAATTGAGCAACAAATACATGAATAAAAAAAGTATCACTAGGGATAACGCTCCTAGTTACAAGAACGATGATGACGAAAGATATTTGTAGAATAACAAAATTGAGAAGATGATGACAACAAAATTAATTAGAGAAATTAAAGATCCTTCTACTTTTTATTTTTAGTTATTTTTCTATCCATGTGAAATGGTAGCAAGTATCATATTTTGATTAAATTAATAATATTTTAAGACACATGCCATCATTTCATATACATAGAAAAATGAATCGGAAAATTAGTAAGAGGATATTTAATTTCTCATTTAAAAATTGTATTTTGTTTCTTATTTTCTGTTTTGTATTTGATTTTCTATTTTCTTTGTGCACCTTACCTATACTTATTGAAATCATCCAGCCTCGCAATAAATGGGCTGGGCCAGGTTCTTCCGAAAGACCGAAACTATACCCATTTCGACATATGGTAGCCCAAAGCCTATAGACCTGACCCGGCCTCTCTTCCTTCCACCTCCCTCCCTCTCTCTCCTTTTCAAACGACCTTTGTATAAACCTTCAATGGCGTAAGCATACAGCTGATTTCTGCCTTAAATTAGGGTTAAATTCAAGACCAACTTACTCTGCTGTACTTCTAGTTCCGCTCAAATGTCTACATTTGGTACCACTACCGCTTCCAACACGAATCCAAACAAGTCCACTGAGGTAAACCCAAGAGTTCATTAATCCAAATTTCATATCTCCAATTCAAGAATTTGCTCTTTTGTGGTATATATATACACATATATGTATAATATTTTGTGTACTTTCTGTTATATCGTTGTTATATTGTTTAGTTCTTCACCCAATGCAGATTGTTGTTCTTAATTAAAACCACGCCTCCTGAATTGAAACCTAATCGATCTTTTATGTTTCATTTTGTATTTCTCGTAACCATTGTAATGATTACTGGTTGTATATAGGTTGTATCGCCTCCTACTGATGCTGTATCAAGCCTTTGCTTCAGTTCCAAAGCGAATTACCTTGTTGCAACTTCATGGGATAACCAGGTCTGCGCAATGTTAAACAATTTCATTCCTTTTATCACTCATCTTCTTTTTCTCATTTGTTCTCTTAATTACATTAAATTATGGAACGATTGCAGGTGAGATGTTGGGAGGTAACCAAAAACGGAACTTCACTTACCACAGTGGCAAAGACATCAATGGCTCATGAACATCCGGTAACCCTAACTTCTTCCACTCCCAAAATCTCTACATCTTCTTTTGATTTTGACAATTGCTCTCTTGTTGTCCCCTTTTTTTGAAGGTTTTATGCTCGACATGGAAGGATGATGGAACAACAGTGTTTTCTGGTGGCTGTGATAAACAAGTGAAGATGTGGCCATTGTTGTCTGGTGGCCAACCAACAACTGTGGCAATGCATGATAGTCCAGTAACTCAGGTTGCTTGGATTCCTGAGATGAGCCTTTTAGTATCTGGAAGTTGGGATAAAACTCTAAGGTGTGTAATTAACTTGAAAAAAATGTTATATTGTTTGTGTTTATGATTCTTTTTTAGTTTTTGTTATGATATTTTTTTGTGTTATGTCATCTTTTTTAGGTATTGGGATTTGAGACAGCAGAATCCAGTCCACACACAGCAACTGCCTGATCGTTGCTATGGACTTACAGTGAGACATCCTTTGATGGTTGTTGCAACAGCAGATAGAAATCTTATAGCATTCAACTTACAAAACCCTCAGGTAAGCTGTTTTTATATAATTCATAAATTCTGGTATCTGAGGCCACATTTTGTATCTTTTTCAAGATAGTTTTTGGTATGATGGAATTGGACACAAAATGCAGTGGTATAATGACTATTTCCATTACATTGCTTAGCCTTATTCCATTCCATTCATTTCTTTCTCATTCCATTCCATACAACCAAACATACCCTAATTGGCAAAAAGTCAACTGAGTTGACTTTTATGTTTAACAGGCGGAGTTTAAGAGAATCGTCTCCCCCTTAAAATACCAAACTAGGTGTGTTGCTGCCTTTCCTGATCAACAAGGTTTCTTGGTATGTCTTTTATTGTATTATTTCTTCTATTTTAATAAAACAAATACATCTGTAAACTGAAACAATGTTTAATTTTGGTTTATAGGTGGGGTCCATTGAAGGAAGGGTAGGTGTGCATCATCTTGATGAACAACAAAGTAGTAAAAATTTCACATTTAAATGCCATAGAGAAGGAAATGAAATTTATTCTGTCAATTCTCTTAACTTCCATCCTGTAAGATATCTTTTCACTTACTTACCCCCTAACAAACCCTAAACCCTAAATTGTTTGACTTTTTTTTGTTCAGGTTCATCAAACTTTTGCAACTGCAGGATCTGATGGTGCTTTTAACTTTTGGGACAAAGATAGCAAACAAAGATTAAAGGTATCTCCATGAAAACCCTCTGTAATTTTGATTCATGATTTGAGTATTTTTATAAACAAATATGATAGATGACTCAATGAAAAGATTAAAAAAAAGTGAATTTTTTTTTGCCTAATAAACTTTTTTACTTATGTAATGATGATGCAGGCAATGTCAAGGTGCAATCAAGCTATACCTTGTAGTAGCTTTAACAATGATGGCTCCATATATGCTTATGCGGTATGAATTTTTTATATATTGTATTTTTTTGTTATAAAATTGTTTTTTGAGATTTTGTTAGATTTTTTATTTATATTTTAAATATGTGAAGGTATGCTATGATTGGAGCAAGGGTGCGGAAAATCATAATCCATCAACAGCAAAAACCTCCATTTACTTGCACTTGCCTCAGGTACAATATTTTAACATGACATGACAAAACAGGTTGTATTGTGGTTGACATTGGACTGGGATTGAGACTTGGAATTATGTTTAATGGGACAAAATTGCAAGTTTTTGTCACACCAAAAAGACATGAATGCTCTTGACATGATTCTTGTGTGTTGTAGGACTCTGAAGTTAAAGGCAAGCCTCGTGCTGGGACAGTTGGAAGGAAATGAAGATGTGCTTTATTTTTACAATAGACCAAATCTTTTTATCATTTTACATTTTTATTTTGTGGGTATCAATTGTAGGGATCAGATCCAGAAAAAAGAACAAATAGAGTTTAATATTTTTGAATAGTTAACTAGATGTGGTGTTTTACGTTACTACAATCTTTTTCCCCTAATTATATGCTGTTTGTGTATGGTTAAATGATGTTTAAGTTTGACCTAACAAGCTTCATGGTAGTTTGATAATAATGATGCCTTGACTCAGTAAGTCAAATCTAAAAAGAGTCAAAATTGTAGTCAACTTATAAGAATTGATAGGGAAATTCTGTTAGACCATAACCAAGGGATGTTAGAGTTAGACCATAACAAAAGGACTGCAACCAGTTAGCTGTTCGTGTTGATGATTTTGAGGAAAGATTGACACAAACAGTGCTAGTGCTAAGATACCGGGCAGCATAAGCTCGAAATATCCAAACCTCTCTTCGAAAGATTAAGCCAAGTAGAAAGCTTATCCAACACCAACATCCAAGAAAAAACATTAAATTTGATGGGAACAAGCCACACCCATTTAGTAGGAACCGAAGAAGCAAGAAATCACCCGAATTATTAGGCAACCAGACCCACCTATCCTCTGCTGAAGATAAAGAAACAGAGTGAAAAAGAAAACCAAAATCTTGCTCTTGAATACTCTCGGCCCCTCCCCTCGGAGTCTTGCGAAAAATACCGAACCTACGGGTAAATCAGAAAGAGTTTTAACCTTCCACCTGGATAACCGCTCAGCCACTTTCTTTACTATATTAGACCAAGAAGCCAACTTCGACATAGAGCTACCAACCATAACTCCAAGATAAGAAAAAGGTGGTTTGCTAGCCATACAACCAATCATAGCCGCTGCTGATTCCACTTCCGGGTATGGAACTCCAATCCCCAATAACCTACATTGTATAAAATACAAACTATATGGCGATGATTAGAATCTTTCCACTCTCCAATGAAAAGTGGATCATCAGCGTAAAAAGGTGAGAAACCTATACCGAAGAAGAGGAGCCAACTAAAATAGCAAAGAAAAGCCCCTGGTCCTTAGCCCAAGAAAAAGATAAGTGAAGAGTCTCTCCATAACCAAGATAAACAAAAAAGGAGACAAAGGATCTCCTTGTCTAAGCCCTCTAAAAAATCAAAATTCTTCTTTGGGGCTACCATTAACTAGAATAGAACCCCTAAAAGAAGAGAGACACCCTATACTCCACTCCTTCCAATGTTCCACAAAACCAAACCCATGAAGAACATCATCAAGAAAATCTCATCTCACCGAATCATACGCTTTTTCAAAATCTACTTTAAAAAGCATTGCATTCGTTTTCTTGTTATTACACCAAGATATTAATTCATTTAGAATCATTGGACCATCAAGAATCTGACGACCCCGAACAAAAGCAGACTTATCAACACCCACTAAGTCACCCTCCACAACACTTCGTCTGTTACCAAGGATTTTCCCCACAATCTTATACCGGCAGGCGATCAAGCTAATTGGACGGAAATCTTTATCAAACTTGGTGTTTGCTACTTTTGGAATCAGAGCAATAAAATAAGGATTACAGCCAGTTGGCCGAGGAAAAGAACTCAAAAATCTCACTAACTACATCAGGGTCCACAATATCCCAAACTTTCCGAAAAATATCAAATGTGAATCCATCTGGACCCGGGGATTTATCAGAACCACAATCCTACCCTGCCCTCTTTATCTCATCCACGAAAATATTATCTTCTAATCACCGCCGTTGAAACTCCGAAAGTCTCGTCGTAAAAATATAACCTAGAGGAATACGTGGTTGAGAAGGAATAGAAAACCGGTTCTTGAAGTGTGAAAAAAATTCCTTTTTAACTGCATTCAGCTCATCTATCCAATCACCATCTGAAAAAACACCACGGATCGCAAGTTGGTTGCGTCTTTTATTTATGATCCCTTGAAAATATTTAGAGTTTTCATATCCCTCAATAGCCCATTTCACTTTAGATTTGTGAACTAAATCAAGAGCATCAAACTTCTCAACCTTCGATATGGACTTGAGTAAAGTCGATATGTCTTCAATTATCGACACCTCACCCTCACCCCGGTCCAAACAAACACCAATATCAGCTAGGGACGAAAGCATCTCCGACTTAGCAGAATTTTTTTCCTCCTTCATAGTTTTGAACCAAAAACGCAATTTACCTTTTAGGAATTATAGTTTCTTTTAAAGAGACACCATAGCATTTGAATTAGTGATAACATTACCCCAAGACTCCACTCCAACATTCTCAAACCCCTCCATAAGAAACCACGAGTGAAACATCCTAAATAGAGTAAGACCATAATAATAAATGGCTTCTCCAAGAAAAATAGGTCTATGATCTGACCAATATTTTTCTAGAATAACACCTGTAATATGAGGAAAAGACTCCAAAAGACCCTCAAAAACTAAAAATCTGTCCAACTTACTCATCTACCTAGCAATTCGATCAGACCATGTAAAAGAGTACCCACCCAAAGGAATATTAAATAAGCCAGCTGTTGCTATAAAATTATTAAACGCCAAAGCCCTTGCTGCATGAAAGTCAGAGCCAACTCTTTCCCAAGCAACACAAACTTCATTAAAATCTCTCATAACCAGAGTATTACCATCCCACCTATTAATAACTCTACACTAATAATCCCACAACATTCGTTTCTCTGATAACCCTTGAGGAGTGTAAACAGAGAGTAAAAGTAATCTAGATCCCGACGGTTTCCAAATTCCCTAGACGAGAACAAAATAGTCCGAAATTGAAACATTTATTTTATAAAATAAATTTTGGTCCCAAATGCACAGAATACTTCCTGACCTACCCATCGAAGGGCCACACACAAAATCAAAACTAGCATTACCCCGTACAGCTCTAACCAAGACCTTGTACATTTAAGGAAAGAAAATTCATCTAGAATCATCTACCACTCCATGCACATTAATTGTATCCTCCATGTTTTTCACACATACTCCCATGTTATACCCCATAGCTTGACCAACACAAACAAACTCTTCCAAAATATCAAGGAAAGAAGAACCCTTATGGATTTTAAGAACTGAAGGAGCACGACCCGTACTAATAGATTCTCCATCATGATCCATCCTGAAAGAATGAGTGGAACGATTTTCTTCATAAACCGGTATGTCAACAGCCTGAACACAACCAACTCTCATAACTGATGGGGAAATCTCACCCGACTCCTTTTCACTTTGACTTCCATCATGAACCTTGGATACAGTTGGTAGAGAACCTGCTTCTTGAGCATCAACTAAATTGCACCTTCCATGAGAACTCACCTGAAGAGTAAACCCCGATGGGTGATGAGTAGCTGAAGCGCTAACACTAGAATTATCAGGCTTATCTTTGTTGGGGTTGAAACACACTTTTATTCAGAACTAGAACAAAAGAGAAGAGCTTACACGCTTAATATTACAAGAAAAAGAAACAACCCTCTAATACTCACTCTAAGTATTACACACTACACTCTCTGTTTTGTGGTGTCTTACAACTGATATTACAACTTCTATTTATACTAAAGCTAGCCACTATAAGTACTGTGACAATTTATTGTGTTCACCGTGTGAAATAAAGAAGCTGCCAATTCTAGTTGTTATTGTCAACAAAGGAGGCATTCATTTGTCAACAAAAGAGGGTGGTGCAGCTACTCATGGCAGGTTCACACCCAAGTAGGTTTACACTTACAATCTTTACCTAGTAAATCATAAAAACCAAAAGGGTCCGAAGATTGATGATTGACTTCCACATCCACATAAGATTTATGAGCTAGTTCACCGAAAACAGTTTCCGAAATCCCATCTGATTCATCAGGGCCGGTCCTGAGGATTCAAATGCCCAGGACGAGTCGAAAAAAAAGGCCCTTAGCCCTAACATGTAACGAATTAAAATACATAAAGTATTTTTTTAAAAAAAGACGATAAACTTTATAGCAATAAACAAAACAAAATCATAGTATTTTTATGAGTACATATTGTACATCTAACCGACGACCCGTGAAACTCTTCTAACATTACTGATAGCAAATTGGTTGATCAACTTTTCGTAGTTAATACTCTTTAAGATTTCTTTCTCGGTGGATAAGTTTAGGTTTTACTTTATTGACAATGAATTAAATGTGTGATACAAAAAAAAAAATACAAGTCCAATACTTTTAAGTTTGAAGATAACATTAAGTTTATTAAAATAAAAATAGCGATGTTTAAAGAAAAACTTAATTACAATTTTAATAATATAGTTTTTAACTTTTTCTAATTATTTTAATTATTATAAAATTACAACAAAATATTGATGAATTAACTAACTGGATCTGTTCGAGTTTTGATTTACGATCAAATGTTCGTTATTTTTAACAAAGTCTTATCCATTTTAATTATTTCCATTGAGAACACATAACTTAAAGTAAAATCAATTGCTTTTATAGAGACAAATTGTATTCGTTTGTTAAATCCAGTAACCTCACATTCATAGTATTTGTTGGACTATCTTTCCGTTAAGATATGGGCATAAAAAAAAAAAAAAAGTTGGGCCCCACAAAAAATTGGACCCTGTGCACAAGCCCCTGTTGCCGACCCTTACAACCGGCCATGTGATTCATCCACAGATTCAGCCTCAACTCGGTCCAAAGGATCTTGCACAATAGGCATTGCATGATACTGATTAGCATGCTCGGGTTCCACCTCCACATATTCATTTATGTATTATGGGGTCCATCCTAAGATCTCCATCTCTTTGACCATATAAAATATACCCTGAATATATAAAGGTCTCGAAAATAAGATCATGCACTTTCGTTTTTACACATATTCTTTACCTCCATAAATTATTCCCATTTCGATATTCTGGATGAAGAAGTTCTCCCCACCGGCCATCGATTTCTTAAAGGAATTAGGTGTCCATGCAAGTGAAGGCACCCCTTCAATATCCACCCAAATTATACGTTCATCTATTACAAACTCATTCGACCATGGTCTAATGTTACTTAACCATGATTTTGCTCACTCATTAACTCCAAGCAGATCCAAAACCCTCCCAAGTGACGAAGAGTTACATCAGAAAAACCTTCATTAGAAGAGATAACTCTTA